CTGTTGCAAGCAGGGTGTTGGAGCCATCTGTGTCTGAGTGGAACACTCCGATTTTACCTGTAGAAAAGAAAAATACTGGTAAATATCGAATGGTTCATTACCTGCGTCGTATAAACGCCCTACTTAACACAGACTCACTTCCCGTCCCTAACCCATATGTGGCTCTGACAAACCTACCACCTTCACATGCATGGTTCACCTGCATAGACTTGGCAAACGCATTCTTTTGTCTTCCACTTCATGAATCTCTGAGGGACATTTTCTCTTTCACATTCAGAGGACAGCAATACCGATATACTCGGTTGCCCCAAGGGTTCACCCTGTCCCCTGGACTATTCAACCAATGTTTGTGCCAGCTCCTGGACACATGCCCCCTACCTGATGACTGTGTTTTAGTGCAGTATGTTGATGATCTGCCCCTGTCAGCGCCCTCTGCAGGCTCCTGTCTGCAAGCTACCCAAACAGTACTGACCCATTTGGCCAAGCTTGGGTTTAAGGTTAGCCGGTCCAAACTCCAAATAGCCAAAAAACAAGTATCGTTCCTGGGCAGAATGATCTCACAAGTTGGCGTTTCATTGTCACCAGATCATAGAAACTCCATACTCCACCATTCTAAACCTGAAACAGTCAAAGACATGTTATCCTTCCTAGGCCTGACAGGCTACAGTAGACACTTCATCCCCAACTATGTCGGTCTCACTGCCCCACTACGTGCTCTTATAGCACCCTTTGGGATGCGTCAACTCACTGCTCATCTGGAATGGACTATTCCAGCAGAAGAAGCATTCATAAAACTTAAACAACAACTATCCACAGCCAGTGATTTGGCTACGGCCGACTACAAATCTACGTTTTTCCTGGATGTTTCTGGATCAGAAACTCATGTAATGGAGTTCTGTTCCAGAAAAAAGGGGAAGGTCAGAGACAAGTCTTGATGTACATAAGTGTCATGCTAGATAACACGGAAAAAAGACACCCACCCTGCACTCAACATGTAGCAGGTCTTGCAAAAATTTTACAGAAAACAGCACACATAGTAATGGGCCACCCGCTGAAAGTACTGACAACACACAGTGTAGTGGCTTATATCACATCACAAGCTTTCACCATGACCCCGCTGAGACAAAGAAAAATCAGTAAGATCTTAGAGGCCCCACACATCACCTACACACATGAAGGAATAAACATGGCAGACCACATGGGGACTGGGGAACCCCATTCGTGCGAACAAAGAACAGCAATAGAAGAAAAGGTCAGACCAGATTTAAGTGCAATCCCACTAGAAAACCCTGATAAGAACTGGTTTACAGACGGCTGTTGCTATAGGGATGACAACGACGGGTTAAAAGCTGCTTGGGCAGTAGTAGAGCAACTCCCTACAGGCGAATGGTCCACTGCAGGAGCTGAAAAACTAAAAGGACAACAGTCGGCACAAAGAGTAGAAGTATTGGCTATCATTGCAGCTCTCAAAATGAGCACAGGAAAAAAGGTAAATATTTACAGTGGCTCAGCCTATGCCGTAGGAGCCGTGCATGTGGAACTTAAACAATGGTTGAGAGCAGGCTTTGTGACAGCTGGGGTGAAACCAATAAAACATGAGTCTGAAATGAGGGAACTAGCAGAAGCTCTATTCCTTCCAGCAGAAGTGGCAGTAATAAAATGCAAAGGACATAGTCAGGGCTCTGACTTCGTGTCTAGAGGTAACCAAGAAGCAGACAGAGCAGCCAAATTAACAGCTGAATATCTCCCTATACATAATCTAGTGGTTGAGACAGTAACTGTTGAGAAAAGCCTTGACCCTAAGATTTCCATCACAAAAAAGACTCTCAAGGACATGCAAGATCAAGCCTCGCCACAAGAAAAAACTTTGTGGTTGGCAAGGGGCGCAACCAACACGGACGTTTGGAGAGGGCCAGATGGTAGACCCATACTGCCACCTGGTATTAGACAAACGGCAATGGAAGAAGCGCACGGAGTGGGACATGTTGGTGTAGCACAGATGGTGAGGAATTTGTCCCCCTGGTGGCATCCATACCTAACAGACATGGCCAAATATTTAGTCAAAACATGTACAGAGTGTACTCAGTTTGGCATCAAACCTACCCTGAAACCAATCCAAGGTATATTTCCAATACCAACATGCCCTGGAAAAGAGATAATCATAGATTTCACATACATGATTGACAGGATAAAAGGCTATAGGTATCTCCTAGTGTGTGTGGATGCATAAACTGGATGGCCAGAGGCTTGGCCTGCGAAAAAAGAAGACAGCAAAACAGTTACCAAATGTTTGATTAATCATTATATTCCCCAACATGGGTTCCCAGAAAAAATCAGATCAGACAATGGATCCCATTTTAAGAACAAAGATCTACAAGAGGTTGAAACCATGCTGGGTCTGAAACACAAGTTTGGTTCAGTGTACCATCCCCAATCCCAGGGGAAAGTGGAGAGGATGAATCAAACGCTAAAAGTCAAATTGGCTAAAATCTGTGCACAGACCAAATTAACTTTACCCATCTTTTGTATTTCTGTTGTTCGGTGTTTATGATCCTTGTGTTATCCCAGTCCATTACATGGTTTTCTCTTGTGCAGTGATCTGTAACAGCTGACTTCTTCTTTATTGTGCTTTCTGCTTCTTCTTTTGCTGCTCTTGTGTGTTTTCGACTTGCCTCTGTATAACATACCGATCACGTTGATGAATTTCGGGCCAAATCCAAAACGACCTAAAGTATTTAATATGAAAGAGTGTTCCACTGAATCAAAAGCTTTATAAAAAATCCAGAAACAGAATAAATCCTTCCACTGATGACTCCTGACTGTAATCAATCAAATCCAAAACCAGCCGTATATTGTTGTGAATAGACTTAGAAAGCCAGATTGTGTTTCATGAATAATTTGAGACAGACCAGTTTTGATTCGAGCTTCTATACATCCAGAAAGTATTTTGTAATCAGTATTCAGAAGTGTAATAGGCCTCAAGTTATCCAACACTCTTTTATCTTTATTTTGTAGTGGAATTAATGTTATAATGCCTTGTTTCATGATGGTTGTTAGTTCTTGCTTCTCTAAACATTCCTGTATTGTTTTGAACAGTAGATTTCTGATGTCTCTCCAAAAGGAATGAGTCCATCAGTACCCAGGGCTTTGTTTGCTGCCAGCTCCAGAACGACTGCATCCAGCTCTTCTATCTTAAAATCAGATTCACACGTTTCCTTAAATGTGTTATCAATGACGGGTATTTGTTTATGCAATAATTTAAAAAAATGTAGTTGCGTCCCTCATAGAAAACGCTGAGGAATAAAGCTCACTATACAATTTTAATACTTCTCTCTCGGTTGTTTTATTATCCTTGCATTTTACACCATTAATCAGCAAGATTGAGATGGCTTTATTTTCCTGTCTTCTTTTCTCCATTTTGCTAAATATGTTGTGTTTTTTCTCCCTCCTCCATCCATTTTGCTGTTGAAGCTCCTTGGGCTCTGTTTCTATAAAAATCATCCAATTTGGCTTGCAGATATAGTAAGTTTTATCCTCACTAGTCATTTCTATTTTGTTGCAGCACCTCTCCTGCAGAAGCTCACATTCCTGTTTTGTTCTTTCTTTGTTCAAGTCTTTACTTTTTTTAATCAAATATAATCTTAAACTTTACATATTCCCATTTGCTGCAGAAGCTCTCTATTTTGCCATCCTTCACAATTGCTGATATTATTCCTTTTATTTTCCCACAGTATTCTTTATCATTTAGCAGATTAGCATTGAATTTCAAATAGCCCTTACTTTTATTATTCCTATTCTTTGAATTCAATGTTATTTCAATTACACAGTGATCTGTTGATGGAGCTTTGGAGATTACAGTATCAGAGACAAATCTTTCCAATGACTGCGTAACCAGCCATCAATTCTCGATTTTGTGGTTCCGTTAGGTTTATACCAAGAGAACATTTTCTTCCCTGGGTTCTTATCCCTCCAAATATCCATCAGGTAATTCCATCCATCCATCCATTGTCTGAACCCGCTTTGTCTACATAGGTAACGGAGTGACCCCAAAACCAGAAGCAGGAGGAAGCTCTGGGCACATCAACCCAAATGACCCCGGTTGCCCATTGACCGCTGGTGCCCATATTCAGCGGTCAATGGGCAATCAGGCGGGGTACACGACAGAGCCAGTACATCGCAGCGCAACCATCAGGTAATTATTCCTGATAAATTCGACCATAAGAGAATTAAATTGGTGACTTTGAAACCTTGAGGGTGATCTATCTTCCCATTCATCCAACCCCCCCACCCCCCCACCCCCACCCCCATTATGATGGAATCTGTGGGATTCATTGTTTTTAGCTCACTTATACCTTTGCCAATATTCCTAAACATGTGTTTATTTTGCGTAAAAGTTCTATAACCATAACCATTGACCAGTATCAAAAAACAACTATCAATCAACAAGACTGCCATTAACCAGTGCCCCTCTTCATCTTTTCTGTAAGTAACGGCCTCCCCCCGAAACTTGTTAAAACAAATAGCACCCCTGCTGACTTAGTGCTTCCATGACTAAACAATATTTTATCTCCCCACATGTTTGTCCAAAACTTTACGTCCACATCAGATGAATGAGCAGACATTGAACTTTACGACCTTTTGGGTGTGTTTATAAATCGCTGCTTTTCGAGGTTGATCTCCACCGGAAGTGAGAACAGTCACGTGACGTCGTTGACTTCCTGCTGTCTGTCAACCGCCACTTCCGCCAGTGGATCGGTCATACTGTTTTTCTTTTATTGTTGACATTTTCTACATCGTTCTTCCTACTGGACCCCCGGCCCCTCCCCGCAGCGAGAGGATGACCACCGAGAAGAACGACTTTACTTCCGCGGAAGTGGGAGCCTGTCAACCGTCTGGCTTCGAGCATTCTACGTTTCCTCTCGGGTTTGGGATGAACATGCCAAGCTCGGAGGTGCACGGTGGGCCAAGTGTGCCTGGAGCTCTTCCTTTCCCACCTCCGATGACTTTTGCACCGGTTGCCCCTGAAGCTTACGGAGTGACTCCAAAACCACAAGCAGGAGGAAGCTCTGGGTACGTCAACCCAAATTACCCCGGTTACGCTGCACACGCTCCTCCGTACTCTCCGCCAGCTCCTGGCTTTGTTGACAGCCACGGGAACGGTGGTAAAATACTTTTAATATTATTCATTTGTGTATTTATTATGACAGCTTACAGCAGTGAGATCACATCAATTAATTTGGTATCTGGTTGTTTTTGCTTCTTCAGCTAATGTTTACCTCAGTGAGGAGGAGCCACCACCCTTTCACGACAATCAAGATTTTGACTTTGGATTAGACAACAAGAGCATCAGGAGAGCCTTCATTAGAAAGGTGAGGTGATTGTTATTTAACAGGGTGAAACAAACTGTGCAAAAATCGCCCAGGGTTGGAATTCAAAAACCCAGAGAAGGGATCTCTTGAGCTGAACCTTTCGAACATCAGTTTTACTAAAACTAAGCAGGGCCGGAGTGGGACATATTTTCAGCCCTGGAGTTTCAGACCCCAGACCGGCCCACTTAACGAATTATTATTAAAATCATGTTAGAACTTCATATGTATAGTCTACAAAAGCACACTACTCGGTAAAGCCTTGTAATTCAGTGCAAGAAAGAGTTGCTTTACAATGTAGGTTTATTTGAACATCAGTGCACATCTCCAACATTGTTCTTTACAACACATTCTCTAACAATATAACAATCTACCTTCTGTTCAAACAGCTGTTCTGAGATTTTCAAACCTTTAAAATGAAATGACTCAGCACTCCCTTTCACACTTTTTCCAGTTTCCCTAGACTCACCTGCACACAATTAAAATAATCATCTGTAAAGCTTTAGCACATTTGATATGGAAAACACATTTTTTGTAACCAATTAAAATATTTTCTATGGCAAAATATGCAGGCTTATTTCATTTTACTTCATTCTAATAGCGATCTGTTGTGGGCTTTGTGCATTTACTAATAAAAATACAACAGGTCACTACTATTATATGGACATTAAAATTATTATAATGAAACTAATGTTTGCTTGTTTGCGCATTAGTTGGCTCACCTTCTATCCCAACAGGAGCAATACCCTCACTGCTGGCTCCTGGCTCTTCTTCTGACACTAAATCACACTGTGTGAAAATGGTCACAATTCAGCATTCATTTTCCTTTTTTACACGCTTTCTGATCAATGCTGAATCATCTAGCATTTTAGAACACTTTCATATAGAGCCAGGATAGTTTTCATCATATAAATTTTAATAATATTCAGTTCACTGACTCAATAAGTAGTACCTGTACATGTCCGCTCTGGAATTGTGGGTTTCTGCCTGGTGCTTATTAGGCCTACTGGATCTTGTGGGCTACAAGACAGTTTGGTGGCATCAGTCACATCATACTGTTGACTATATTACATAACGTTATGTCATGACACCATATAATTCATTATTGATGCTTAATTAACTTGAATGGTGATTTGCAGCCAGTAAAGTTTAACATCTTGACTTGCCTTACCCGTTTTATCTTCATTTGAAGTTAAAGACCGCAAGCTTGTTTGAGAAAAAAAGGTGCTCATTTTTGCACATTTAGCTGCATCTGTTTCCAGCGCTTTCCTCTTTTTAATTCTTGCCTTCTCCGCGCCACCCTTGCTCTTTCTACTTTCCATCTTTCCGTCAACTGCGTGGTCACGTGGTGCGCACAGGCGCATATAGGGGAAAAAGAAAAAAAAAAACGAGCTGCAGCCTGCAGGTAGAGACAGCCGGGAGGAGCGTATGAGATCAGCCCGGCGGCCTCAGTGCCATGACTGAACACCGGCACCAAAAAATAAAAATAAAATGATAAAAAACAAAAACGAGAGCACCGGCCCATGCGGCCCAAACATCGCGCGGCCCACCGGGAATTCTCCAGACCCTCCCGATTAGCCACTCCGGGCCTGAAACTAAGTACCGTATTTTCCGGAGCGACTTGTACTCCGGAAAATACGATAATTAGCTTTGTTTGTTCTTATTGATTGTATATTAGTATTGCTTCATTAACCACTGTTTACAGTGTGTAGTATTTATTTAGAGATTTTTTTCAGTCAGGAAATAAAACAACTTAAAATGTAATTTAAGAGAGCAGTCCAGCCTAGAACAGACCGCAGCAGCAAAATACCTCATGTATTACACCTGAGAGACAGAAAAGCAGTTAAAACCATCACAGATTAAAAAAGGCATTAGACTTTAACCATTAACTCATTCACTGCCATTGATGACCAAAGTCGTCATTGGCAGTGAACTGTTGGACCGGTTGACATTTTTTTTACTGTGTGGGTGTCGGAACGAGCCCCCGCACCCTGAGAACAAACATCTCAGCTCTAAAGCTGATCTTCATTCGCACACATCACACGTCACGTGATCAGGAAGCAGAACATCCATGCGTTAGGAGATCGGTTTGGGCCGCTGCTGTAAAAAAAATGAGGAGCGAACCGAAAAAGCTTCTGCCGATCACAATTCAACAACGGATTATGAAAGAACGGATAACGCTCGAAACGCGCGGATTCTTCCTGATGTAAGAGGTGAGTCTCCGCTTTGTTTTGTTAGTTTTGGCGTTGACATCATCCTAGCGCGCAACGTTCTGTGACTCTTAAAAAACCAGTAAAAACGGTGAGAAACGTTAACAGCGAATGGCTTTACCAATCATGAAATGGATGGCAGTGAATGAGTTAAGGGTACAATATGTAAGAATGAAGTAACGTGTACTTTTTGGGCAAAAATCACCATTTTTGAAGCCAAATGTGGCGTTCACGTGAATCGTGTAGGTCCAATGAGTTTTTGTTTGGGGGGTCTTGTGTCGGGTTTCAGTCAGTCTCATGAGAATCAATTAGAGAAGGGAGGAAGGACTCTTACTCACAATCTTTGTTCTAGTGTGTTAGTCATGTGTCGTTATTTGACCAATCACACGCTGCACGCGGCGAGGCAGCAGCGGCACTCACGGTGAGTATGAGCGCTGTCGCTTTAACTTCTTGTAGCGGTTGAGTTTAAAGTTTGTCAGATCGAACAAAATCACCACTAAAAAATACAGTTTTCTGTCAAGGACTTTAGCAGATTTACCTTTATAGATAGTCATGGGGCTCGTTGTGTTTTTTTTTTATTTGTTTTGGAGTTACGTTCGGAGTAAACCCCGCCAGTATTTAACCCCGTTAAAAACTAATATTAGTAACAGATTCTTTTCTGGTAAGAAATGGCCGCCTGTATGCTACAGCCTTCACCCTCCAAGTTTGCAGGCATGGAAGTAAGAATGACGTCCTGTGTTCAAACTGGGTCCCTGCAGGCCAATTTTAAAGCCATACAATGCAACTTTTACATATTTTTAAATCATTTCCTTTAGCCAGTTGGTGCCACAATGACAATCTTTACAGCAGGGGTGTCAAGCCCACTGGGCCGAAGTCGCGGGCCAAACTTCATATTTTTTGAAAAAGTGAGGGCAAATGTGCACATTTTCCTTTATCTACAGATATGCACTGTTGAACATTTTCATTTGGAAAAAAATATGTTTGCATCAACACTGAATGTGGAATAACCAAATTACACACAAGCAAGTAAATCAGAATTAAAATGCGCCAGTGGTCTTGTTATGTCTCAGATGTTTTATTCTTTAAAATGTGTATATATTCAGTGATTTTTAAATCTTTTGAGTCTTTGAAGTGTTTCTGTTTTCTTGTTGTTTATTCATTATTTTTGTTTTTACTCCTGTTTTTGCTCTTGTAATAAATGTCATCGCTGCTGTGACCAAGCTTTCCCAACTGAGGGACAGTAAAGAGATTTTCTATCTATTCTTCTATCTGCAGCCTTTCCAGTTCCTGTTTTGCTGCAGGTTAAATCTTTTTTCACGGGCCAACAACAACAATTTAAAAATATTTTTATTTTAAATGAAATTCTATATGGTGGGTTCGCTTCCCGGCCTGGGGTCTTTCTGCATGGAGTTAGCATGTTCTCCCTGTGCATGCGTGGGTTCTCTCCGGGTTCTCCGGCTTCCTCCCACAGTCCAAAAACATGACTGTTAGGTTGATTGGTCTGTCTAAATTGCCCTTAGGTGTGTGTGTGTGTGTGGTTGTTTGTCCTGTGCGTCTCTGTGTTGCCCTGCGATGGACTGGCTCTCTGTTCAGGGTGTACCCCGCCTACTTGCCCGTTGACCGCTGGAAATAGGTACCAGCCCCCCTCGACCCTACATGGACAAGCGGGTTCAGACAATGGGTGGATGGATGGATGGATGGATATCTCACTTATTAAAGGTGAACTATGTAAGAATAGGACAGTAAAATAATTACAAAACAGTCCAATGTGTCACATTCAGGGAAGGTTACAATGACAAGCTCTCCCTTTCAGCTGGCTGGGGGAATGTCAGGTTTTCTGTCATCAAAGATGGCCGGCCCGTGACGGCCTTTCTGTTGACAAACAGCACCCCCTCATTCTTCCTGGTCCTAGAGCCAATCATATTTGAGCCGGGCGTGTTACTTCCTGGTTGCCTCGTCTCCAGCACCACCGCTGTTTTGCATTTGTTATTTGCCTCCACTCTCCACCAGCAGCTCATCTCCAGCCTTGAGCTTGAGGAGCCTTTTTTCGTCCCGGTTGGATGAAACAGTGTTGTGGAGAGAACTGAAGCTAGCACACGGAGCAGTACAGAAGGATTATCTTGTAAACCTAAGAAGCCTCAGTCTCTCCTGAAGACTGAAGAACAACATGAGAAATAAAATGAAGCTAAACACTGGAAACTATTTTCAAAGATGGAGATGTTAGGACCAGATCAATTTCAGGAGGGATGCAAAGTTCTCCTGGACAGGTAAGAGTTGGTATTTTGTTGTTTGACCAAACAAAAAAATCAGACTGCATTTTGTTACCCCTGGAGCTCAAAGCTAATCAGCATCAACGCTAGCGGTGGTTAGTTAGTCATTTTCACTTTTCGGTGAGTGTGTGTGTTTACTAGTGTTTATTTTGTTACAGAATGTCCGCCGACATGTGAGGAGGGTTCAAATGCTCAGTATTTATAACCTCAGAGCTTCCTGGTATCAGCCCCGCTGTCGGTGGCCTTCATGGCCCGCAGCCGGGACTGAGGCTTGGTTGGGCGGCTCGGCGCTGCTCAGCACCATGGCAGTTCCTGCCCTGCTGTCGTGGGTAGAGCTTTTTGGGTGCATGGTGTTAAGATGGGAAAGTGCTACTAATTATGTCACCTGTGTACAATGTTGGTTTATTTTATTACAAAAAAATCATATAATTATAATTTTCCTGTTGTTTTGCTTGCATAAATTAGCGCTTTATTACTGAAAATAAATAATAGCGCCTTAAAATGAAAGTGATCTGTTTATTAC